TGTGTCACCATTCTCCAGCACGGTGCCAGATGACTGGGAGGCAGGGTTGCCATTCTCCAGGTGGGGCCTGGAGAGCCCCCGGAATTGCAGCTGATCTCCAGACGATAGAGACCGGCTCCCCTGGAGGAAATCTTCAATTTTGTTGTTGTTCAGTCGCACAGTCGAGTCCGACTCTTCACGACCCCATGGACCAGATCACGCCAGGCCTTCCTGTCTTCCGCCGTCCTCTGAAGTTGGCTCAACTTCATGTTCGTTGCATCTGTGCATGTTGTTGTTGTTGTTGTTCAGTTGCACAGTCGAGTCCGACTCTTCGCGACCCCATGGACCATCTCCCGCCAGGCCCTCCTGTCTTCCGCCGTCCTCTGAAGTTGGCTCAATTTCATGTTCGTTGCATCGATGACACTGTCTAACCATCTCATCCTTTGCCGTCCCCGTCTTCTTTGACCTTCAATCTTTCCCAGCATCAGGGTCTTTTCCAGTGAGTGCTCCCTTCTCATTTGGTGGCCAAAGTATTTGAGCTTCATTTTCATTATCTGGCCTTCCAGGGAACAGTCAGGGTTGATTTCTTTTAGGATTGACTGATTTGATCTTTTTGCAGTCCAAGGGACTCTCAAGAGTCTTCTCCAGCACCATAGTTCAAAAGAATCTATTCTTCGGCGCTCGGCCTTCCTTATAGTCCAGCTCTCGCAGCCATACATGACTACTGGGAATACCATTGCTTTGACCATGCGGACTTTTGTTGGCAGGGTGATGTCTCTACTTTTTATCATGCTGTTTAGGTTCGCCATCGCTTTCCTCCCAAGGAGCAGGCGTCTTTTAATTTCATGGCTGCTGTCACAGTCTGCGGTGATTTGGGATCCCAGGAACGTGAAGTCTGTCACTACTTCCACGACTTCCCCTTCTATTTGCCAAGGAGTGATGGGGCCGGATGCCATGAGACTGGTAAAATGGATTTCCAAAATAACACAGGCACAGCTCAATAACTTCAGTGGAGTCCTAGGATTCCATTAAGGTTATTGAGCTGTGTTATTTTGGAAACCGGGTTCCGTTTTACCAGCCGTTCTTCAAGATCATTGAAACGTCTTGATTTATACTTGGGAGAGACCTACGGCTGTTTTTCTTTCCACAGTGGGCCTCTTCGGCCACAGTTACTTTCTGTTTGGAGGTCTATGGACACTATTCATGTATGGAATCACAGAGGAGCCTACTGTTGGTTTTGAACACGTTCTTTTGATAAATAATGCTTAATGGTTAGGAGCAATCTGTTGGAGGTGTGCCCGTATTTATTTATTTATTTGTTAGTTAGATTTCTATCCTGCCCTTCCGCCGAAGCGGCTCAGAGTGGCTTACATACAGTTTTAAAACCAACGTAAATACATACCTAAAATAGTAAAGTTAAAGGTTTCCCTTGCTCGAAAGCCAGTCGAATCTGACTCTAGGGTTGTGGTGCTCATCTCCGTTTCAAAGCCGAAGAGCCAGCGCTGTCCGAAGACGTTTCCGTGGTCATGTGGCCGGCATGACTAAACACCGCAACAACTCACACCAAGAAAAAGCTGCCGAAGAAACACCGTGCCGTATTAGGGGTGCTGGTAGGTTGTCCCCCCCCCCGCACCATATGTGGCCCTAGATAGGTATTAGCTACGATACAGTAGCACATTGTAAACCGCCCTGAGACCCGCTAGGGGTTAAGGGCGGTATATAAATCACCTGTAAATAAATAAAAAAATAAAAAATTTATGTAATGTATCCAGTCCAGACAAGTCCAGAGACCAACGCCGAGCTTCGCTCCAAGAGACAACGGACTATGCGGATCCTAGCCCGCTCCAATCAGGGGGCTAGGTTCCCAGCCGAGAGCCTATGGGACTCTTGGCCACCGTAAATAACCTATAGGGAAGTAGGGGGTGTGTTTTGGGTGGCGGTTTCTCGGGGGATATAAGTCGGCCTGCGAGCCGGCCAAAGTCGTCTTGTTCCTGTTCGAATAAAGTACGCTTTGCTGAAATCACTCTCCGTCTGTGTACTAGAATCAAGTACGCTTTGCTGAAATCACTCTCCGTCTGCGTACTTTTCACTTTACCAACAGGCTTGTGGGGGAGAGATGGGGAGGTGTAAGGGCGAGGCCAAGGACTTTACTCCAGCAACCACTTGGCGGTTACAACCCTACTCATTTGGTATTTTAACCTGTTTTTGGTTTTGACTATGGGAAATTGGCCTTGGGAACGACAAGCAAAAAGGTTAGTGATTATGTTCTAAAATAGATGAATGCCTCCCAGCAGGGCTCTTTTTGTAGAAAAAGCCTAGCAGGAACTCATTAGCATAATAGGCCACACCCAACAGCATAAACTCATTAGCATATTAGGTCACACCCATGACAGCACAGCTCATTAGCACATTAGGCCGCACCCCCATGTTACCAGAAGTGTGGTCATCCAGCCACACCCACCTTTTGCTTGTTATTCTGTTTACCTTGTCTGTTGCCAAAACCCAGGGCCTTTTTTTGTAGCAGGAATTCCTTTGCATGTTAGGCCACACACCCCTAATGTAGCCAGTCCTAATGAGTTCCTGCTGTTGGGTGTGGCCTGTTATGCTAATGAGTTCCTGCTGGGCGTGGCCAACTTGGGAGCCAGCCGGAACTCCGTTCCTATGCGTTCCTGCCCAAAAATAGCCCTGCCTCCCAGACCATTTCCAACATAACATTTTTGGTATGGAACTGTGTATGTAGCCACTGACGATTAGTCCTTGTAGCAGTCGGTTTCAATACAGGAGCAATAAATCAAACATGACGGAAGACAGATGTCTTGCCGTGAAAATAATTTGTCTGTTTTGCTTTTCTCTGTCTGTCTGTCTCTCTCTCTCCCTCTATGGAGCCCAGGGTGCTCTTAGACTGGCATCCCTCCTGGAGCTTTAGGGGAAGGGGCCGGGCATCACATGGCATCGCCACAACAGCACTCCCTCCCCCAGGCAACAAGGTTTGGGTCTCCTTAACTTAGCGCTTTTCCACATTTCCCTTTCCCTTGCTTGTAAGTTCCTGCTTCTTCAGGTGTTTGTTTTTCTGTTCCGTACATGTTGTGCTCCCTCTAGTGGCTGATTCTATATTACACCCGTTTATGTCTGGCATAAAACCCTGTAGTTTAAACCTGCAGGGAGATATGCCGGACATAATCCTGTGTAATAGCAAACCGACCACTAGAGGGGGCAAAACACATGCAGGACAGACACATTAAGCTGTGGAGTTTCGTTAGTAAAAATTCTGCTTTTGTGAGCGGCTGGCATTAAAGTGGCGAGCGAGCGATTTGTCTCCTGCATTAATCAGTTTGCTCTGGAGCCATCCTTCCTGAGCTCAGACAAAAATCTGTGAGCTGGAGGCTAAAAAACTGTGAGCTAGCTCACACTCACTCAGCTTAGAGGGAACACAGGTTGCTAGCTTCAGTTTGGAAAATTCCAGAGATTTGGGGGCAGAGCTTGGGGAGAGACCTCAGTGAAGTACAGAGCCGTCGAGTCCATAGATGCTGATGTTTTAGGCATTTTTCTCCCGCCACCACTCTGAGTCGGGGCGGGCAACAAGGAAGTGGCCTGGAAACCCTACACTGTCACTATCATCACGATTGTCATCGTCATCGTCGTCATCAATCAAATAGAACAATGTTTCATTCTTCACTGGAAGCTTTCATGTCCGAAATCAAGAAGACTTTTTAAAACATTCTTAGGTGGAGTGAGCCCGTGTCTTTGGCGGGATGGTGCACCCACTGGCTCAAACCTGGTTTCAGCCCTGGACGATGCTGTCTGTGTATTTTCAAAGGGCCTGGCGGGATCTAGTCCATGGGGTCGCGAAGAGTCGGACTCGACTGTGCGACTGAACAACAAAAGGTGGAGTGAGCCCGTGTCTTTGGCAGGACGGTGCACCCACTGGCTCAAACCTGGCTTCAGCCCTGGACGATGCTGTCTGTGTATTTTCAAGGGGTGACTGGGAACACTGAGATGTGGATATTTCTATGCCGCCCATGTCCACCCCTATAGATCAGCATTCAGCCTCCAAAATCTCTTCCCTCCTATACCCATCTGTTGTCTTCCCAAAGCCTGTAAAGCAGGGGTGTCGGACTCATTCGTTACGAGGGCCGGATCTGACATAAATGAGGCTTTGTCGGGCCGTGCCATGCGTGTCATAAATCGTAATGCCAGGTAGCGGAGATATAAACTTTATAATAGACACAAACACAAAAGGTTTCTTTTTTACTTAAAATAAAAAAAATATGCTTAAAACATTAGCACTCTTGCGATATTCTGTTTATTTAACAGTGTCTGATAACTGACACCTCTTGCTCTGAATGATCGCATCAAAATGTCTGTGCTGTTGCAATCCTGAGTATGCTGTTCAGGTGTGTGTATCTGTAAGCTGCAAACCTACAATGATGCAGCAGCAGCAGAGCTAGAAGAAGAAGCAGAAGACAGCCAGTTCCACTGCGGGCCTGATAGAAGCCCTCCGGGGGCCTGATCTGGCCCCTGGGCCGCATGTTTGACACCCCTGCTTTAAAGGGTGTTCATTCTGGCCAGACTAAATGTACAATCCTGGGCAGTTATAGCACATATCCTTCTGGAGTGTCCTTTGTATGCTAGTCTCAGGAGGCATTACATTTTACCGTGTTTGCAAGTTCATTTGGACATATAACCCTATGACTTAGCTCTTTATTTTCTGACGGGGATCCATAGATTAGTGTGGTTTGCTTTTCTTTCTCTTAACAACAACTATCCACTGCTTAAGACTGATGCATCACAGAGCTTTTATTGGGTAAAAGGATATTTCTACCTTCTGCCAAGCCCTCGAGTGAAGAAAAGGCTCTTATTTGGCCTGCACTTCAAGTACGTCATTCCTGTAACAACAGCCCTGTATGGTAGGTCAGTATACAAAGGACACACACTGCTACCCAGAAGTGTGTCCCCCCCATCCAGAGGAACATGCACTTCTGGGTTCCAATGTGGGTGAACAAGATCTTGGGGTACGGGTGGACTGTAAGTTAAATATGAGCAGCCAGGGTGATGCGGCGACAAAAAAGGCTAATGCGATCTTGGGCTGTATCAACAGAGGTATATAACATCTACATAGCAAGATGTCATAGTCCCGCTGTATGCTGCATTGTGATTGGTCAGGCCACACACCAGAAGTGCAGTTCTGGAGGCCTCATTTCCAAAAGGATGTGGACAGGGTGGAGCGGGTGCAGAGGAGAGCGACGAGGATGATTGGGGGCCTGGAGACCGAGCCCTGGGAGGAAAGGCTGAGGGACTTGGGGATGTTCCGTCTGGAGAAGAGGAGGTGAAGGGGGGGGGACATGATTGCTCTCTTGAAGTCTTTTGAAGGGCTTCACTTAGAGGAGGGCAGGGAACTGTTCCTGTTGGCAGCAGAGGATAGGACTTGCAATAATGGGTTTACATTATGTGCAGAAGGTACCAGCTGGATATTAAGGGGGGAAATTTGACAGTGGAATCAGTTGCCCAGGGAGCTGGACAACCTTGTCAGGGATGCTCGAGTCTGATCCTGAACTGAGCAGGGGGTTGGTCTAGATGGCCTGTACGATTCTAACAAAGACAATGAGAAAAGGGCTTCCCCAAGCCTGCCAAGTCGATTTCCAGCAGTGGTCAAATTCGCACAAGGGACCAGTGTTCCCTCTAAGCCGAGTCAATGTGAGCCAGCTCACAGTTTTTTAGCCTCCGGCTCACACATTTTCGTCTTAGCTCAGGGAGGGTGGCTCCACAGCAGACTAATTTATGCAGCAGCCAAATCGCTCACTCACCGCTTTAATGCCGGTAGCTCACAAGGTAGAATTTTTGCTCACAAGACTCCACAGCTTAGAGGGAGCATTGCAAGGGACTGGTTTATATTTCAGTCTTTTAGCTCTTGCGCTATGCTAGCTCTTGCCTGGTGTGTGTGTGTGTGTGTGGGGGGAAATATCACTTCACCCTGCATCGGATTCATTTCCCACGCAGATGCTCCAACCCAATTTAATCTCTCCCCCTTCCATGCGCCTCTTGTTTTTTTTGGAAGAAGCGAGAAGACAAAGGGGGCTCCCAATCTCCAGAAACCAGAGCTGCTCATCCACCCTTGGGGATGTCGTCGTCGAAACAAAAACACCTCCTGCTGCGAGAGGATTGCTCAAAAGACGGCCACGCCTTGTGGGGGGGCCCCAGCTGAGGCGACAGCCGGCGGGTGATTAGCAGAGATTAAGGGTCGCCCTTGCCATCTGGCAATTCCTGGAAGATGATAATAAGGACTGATCTTGCCAGGGCTGTCTGTGCAGCACGACACCCCTCTCGGCCATATAGAGCAGGCATTCCCAACGGGGTGCCCACGGGCACCATGGCACCGTCAACACTTTTCCTGGTGCCCACCGAGTGTTGTTAGAAAGTGGGTGGGCCCAGGGAGGCTTGGAGAGCCAATCTGGTGTAGTGGTTAGGAGTGCAGACTCTGATCTGGGAGAACTGGGTTTGATTCATGATTCCTCCTTAAGCAGCCAGCTGGGTGACCTTGGGTCAGTGACGAGTTCTCCCAGAGCTGTTCTCTCAAGGGCAGACCTTGGAAGAGCTCTCTCAGCCCCACCTATCTCACAGGGTGTCTGCTGTGGGGAGGGGAAGGGAAAGGAGTTTGTAAGCCGCTCTGGGACTCCTTTGGGTAGTGAAGGGCGGGGTATAAATCCAATCTCCTCCTCCTCCTCTTCTTCTTCTCCTCTTTCTCCTTATCCTCCTCCTCCTCTTCTTCCTCTCCTTCTCCTCCTCTTCTTCTTCTTCTCCTCCTCCTCCTCCTCCGCCTCCCAGCAAGGCTTCTGATTGGCCATGGGAGATTTGATTGGCTATCCAGGTTTCTAAAAAACGTGGCTTCGGCAGCCGTTGCCACCAGTGTTCCCTCTAAGCTGAGTTAGTGTGTGCCAGCTCACAGCTTTTGAGCCTCCGGCTCACACATTTTCGTCTTCGCTCAGGAAGGATGGCTCCAGAGCAAACTAATTTATTCAGTAGCCAAATTGTTTCCTCATAACTTTAACGCCAGTAGCTCACAAAGTAGAATTTTTTGCTCACAAGACTCCACAGCTTAGAAGGGAACATTGGTTGCCCCCACAGCACAATGACCAGTGTTCCCTCTAAGCTGAGTTAGTGTGAGCCAGCTCACAGTTTTTTAGCCTCTGGCTCACACATTTATGTCTTGGCTCAGCGAGGAGGGCTCCAGAGCAAACTAATGTATGCAATAGCCAAATCGCTCACTCACAACTTTAAGGCCTTTCGCTCACAGAGTAGAATTCTTGCTCACAAGACTCCACAGCTTAGAGGGAACATTGACAAGGACCTGTACCGTGTGGCTGAAGGTCAGCCGCGGCAGCCATCTTATCACTGGCTCTGCCTCTTGCGGCAGTGCTATTGTGGTGGACGCTTTCTCTCAGCGGCCGCCACGCTGTGTAAGAACTCCAGAGGTGCTCACCAGCTCAAAAAGCTTGGAGACCCCTGGTGTTAGGGTTGCCAGCCTCCAGGTAGTGGCTGGAGATCTCCTGGGATCGCAACAGATCTCCGCATGAGAGATTGGTTGGCCTGCAGAAGACGGCAGCTTTGGAAGGTGAAACCCCGCCCTCCCCAAGGCTCCACCCCAGAATCTTCAGGTATTGCCCAATCTGGAGTTGGCAACCCCACCTGGTATAGAAGGAGCTTTACCAAGAGGCTTGGGGGAGAGACGGGGGTGGGGTCTAAGGGCTAGGCCCTTTGAGTCCAGAGGTCCCTGGTTCAAATCTCGCCTGTGTCAGGAATCCCCTAGATTGTGCTCGACGGCCAGCGTGGCATAGTGGACGGAGTGTGGGACAGGATCCCAAGAGCCCAGGGTTTGAATCCCTACTTTTACTATGAAGACTTGCTGGGTGACCTTCGTCTTGTTGCAAACTCCGAGCCCGGCCTACCTCACAGGGTGGTTGTCGCGAGAGAGCGGAGGAGGGGAGGACGATGTTCGGAGCGGCTTTGAGTCCCAGTGGGGGAATAAAGCCGGATATTAATAAATAAATGGCAAGCCAATTCATCTGTCTGGGCCTTGGCCCCGATTCAAACGGAGGCTGGATGGCCATCTGACAGCAATGCGGATTGTGTGAACTTGGGCAGATCGTGAGAGGGAGGGCAGGGAGGGTTGCCTCAGTGCTTGGATCTCGTGGCCCTTTCTCCCACACCCAGGGAAATGCCGATTGCCACTTTTGGGTGAGGAAGCCATTTTCCTCCAGGCCAGTTTGGCCGGGGATCCTGGAGGTTTTTTGTCATCTTCCGGGCATGGAGCAGGGGTCACCGGGGCTGTGGAGGGGGGAGGTATTTGTGAATTTCCTGCATCGGGCAGGGGGGGGGGTTGGATTAGATGACCCTGGAGGTCCCTTCCAACTCTATGATTCTATCAGGTGGAGGTAATGATAAAGAAGAGCCTTTTTGGATCACACCAGTGGTCCATCTAGGCCAACAGCCTTTTTCTGTCACCAATGCACAGTTCTTCATGGTCTCTAGGAAGCTCATTTCTACCACTGAGGTCTGGAGGAGGCAGTCATTAACCATGCACTGGTCTGAACAGCTAGAGAAAGCTTCAAGGCAATGATAACTCTGTGGAGATCTGTATCTTCTCAAGCTAAGAGCCTGTCCTATATTTAAACATCTGATAGGGCATGTCTAGAGAGAGGGACAGAGGAACTGCATTTTACCCATTTCTTTTGAATCCCTTGCTCAATCTGGTGCTGTGCTATAAGTGTGCTTGTGAACATTTTCCTTGGAATAAATACTTTGTAATTTTTGATGCTGGTAGCGGTTCTCTGTACCACATACACCTCCACTGTCTTCGATATGCATTTTTAAAAGGAGCACCAGGGGGAAGGCATAGATCCAGAGGATTTAGCCATGTTAGCAGGGCCGGCTCACTCACTAGGCGAAATAGGCATTCGCCTAGAGTGGGCTGGCCCTTAGGGGTGCCAAACTGCACCCACCCACCCCGCCAAAAGCCCTGCATGCATCTAGTCCCTGGCTGGGGGACCGCTGCCTCTTTCACCCCAAGACCGGTGCCCAGAAGTGGGCGGGGAAGGAAGCGAGGAAGGAGGAAGCGCCCCCCCCGCTGCGCTCGGGGCCTGTCCTGAGGCGCAGGTGGCCTGCAGGGCGGGGAGGAGGTGGATGGCGCTGCCTGAAGGGCCCAGTGGCAGGGCGGCTCAGGTAGGCATGCGTGGTGAAGAGGGGGCTGGGGCAGACCTGCCGCCGCCTCCTCCTCCGAGACGGGCCTGCTCGGACCGGACGACTCCTCCATGCCGCCCTCGGTGAGTCTCCTTGGCGCCGCCCACGCGGGGAGCAAGGGGATGGGGCGCACGCAGCTGGGGGGGTCCCGGTCCCCCAGGAGGGAAGGAGAGACGAGGGGGGAAGAAAAAGCAGAAAGGCTGCCCTCCAAAGAGCCTTGTAGCCCTCCCCCTATACACCCAGCTTAGCACTCGGCTTGAGCGCCAGAGAGGCACGTGGCGGTGGGGGGGGGAGAGACAAGGTGAGGGGGGGTGCCACAAGGCAGCCTCGCCTGGGGGGGGCACTAGTTTCGCCTAGGGTGCCGAAAAACCTCAGGCCGGCCCTGCATGTTAGTCTTTTGCTGCAAAATAGTATAAAGCTTAGTAGCACCTTTAAGACTAACAAATGTCATTGTCGCACAAAGCTTTCGAGAAACACAGCTCTCTTTGTCAGACGCAGGGTCGAGGCAGTCAGTCGGCCAGTGGCTACTCCTCCAGCACCGCACAAGACAGTAAACGGTCCCCGTGGTGGCCAGGCAGCGGGCAGTGGGAGACACGGAGGCAAGGCCTCAGAACTTGAAATGGCAGCCGGGACTCCTGACCCTTCCAGCGGACAACTCCTACAAAGGTCCTAGCAGGGGAGCGCAGCTATCGTATACCCTTGACCAAAGAACGGTACACTCCTTCTGTCTGGGATGGTCGTCCTCTTCGACTGAGCGCACCGCTTCAGGAGGGACGCACATGGAGTGGTGAGAGAGGGAGGGGACACCCGCCTAGCCAGCCAGACCGCCCGAATCAACCCTGGCAATCAATGGGGTGACAGATGTCGCAGCCAGATCGCCCTCTGAAAAGAGCTCTCTCAGGCCCGCCTACCTCACAGGGTGTCTGTTGTGGGGAGGGGAAGAGAAAGGAGTTTGTAAGCCGCTCTGAGACTCTGAGTGAAAGGCGGGGTATAAATCCAATCTCCCCCCCTCCTCCTCTTCTTCTTCGATGGATTAGTAGAGATAGGTCTATAACTGGTTAACAGAATATAGAGGATACAGACTATCATTAACCTAATCCATATTTAGGACAGCGGTTTACATATATTTATTTATTATTTATTTATTTTTGGGATTTATATCCCGCCCTACCCATACGGCCCCAACAGGAACTTCTTTTATAATACTGGAATATAAAACACAACACAACTGTCCTTGGCTTTCCACATTTGTGTCCGACTTGGTGGGTTTTTTTTTGTTTTGTTTTGTTTTTAATTTTATTTCATAAAAAAATCCAACACCAACACCACCCATGTGCAACTTCCAGGCATTAGAGACGAAAATGAAGTTCCATACAGTATTATATCACAATCAATCTCCGTACAACTCTATTCCACTATTAACCTTCCCTCTTAATCTTATAATCAAATTAACCTCTCAATTTCCTATTAACTGACTAATCACCCCAAATTTTTTAAACTTTCCCAAATACCCCACCATCCTTTTAAACCAGTCCTCCTCATGGTCCTTAACCTTTGACCCATTCATTCTACGTATCTTCATTGTAAGATACTCTAAAATTATTATATTGTTCATCCTTTCCCTCCAGTGATTAATCGTCAGTTCCTCAGCTTCTTTCCAATTCTTTGCAATCACTTGTCTTGCTGCTACTAACATCAAATTTATCCATTTACATTCCTCTTTTACCCTTAACCCTATACCATCCAAACTAATAAGTGCCATTGCTTTAGATATTCTTACCCTTCTTCCCACAATCCCTGACATTTCTATACCAATTTGATCCCAAAATTTCTTTACCAAAGGACAATCCCACCACATATGACTGAACGTTCCCACCTCTCCACATTTCCTCCAACAATTTTTACTTCCCGATTTTGAAATATAGCTCAACTTAACTGGTGTATAATACCATTTCTGTATCATCTTCA